TTACAGTGTAATTTACATCCATAGCAAGTAAAATGGAAAGCCTGACTCCTTGCAGGCCACTGCCTCCCATCTCCTCCTGCTGCTGCTGTTCTGGCTCTTACCAAACACCTGCACTGCCACCTTCTGCCTGTCTTACAGCTCACAGCTCAGTTTCCACTGTGATCATTTTTTTTATCATCCTGACAAATTCATTATATATGACCTAGGAAAACTTGGAATACAAAGAAGCAGCCATGTGCACACATACGCAGTCAACATGGTCCGTAAATTGATTTTTGCTTCTAGCTGGTCTCTATTGCCCTATACGTAGAATTATAGAATGGTTTGGGTTTGAAGGGACCTTTCAAGGCCATCTAGTCCAACCTCCTGCAGTGAGCAGGGACATCTTCAACTAGATGGTTGCTCACAGACCCGTCCAGCCTGACCTTGAATGTTTCCAGCTTTGATTTAGAGGAAGGGAACCCTACAGTGTTGCCCCCCATGATCCCAAAACCTAAAATGCTTTGTTCAGCACGTGTTAAGCCAAGATAGTAGCCAGTGATTAGCCACAAGCTTTTTGTTAGGTTTCCTCAACAGCCTTGATTGATAGAGGCAGCATCTGAAATAACCAAATGGTTGCTGCTAGAAGACAAAGTCTAGACCATCAGTTGGTATAAATCAGGTTTTCCTACATGACTTTGGAGAAGCTACCCTGATTTATACCCAATGGTTATCTGTTTCAAGTTATCACATGAACTGTGCTGGTTGTGTCTGCTTCTGCTGTGGTAAAGGAAAAGGAAACTCAAGTGGCGCATGTCTATGCTTACAAATGGATGAAAAATGTCTTTTTCTTTCTTTCTTCCCAGTTGAAATATTAGTTAAATACAAAGTTGATTTGAGAAAAAAAATAAAAGTATCTGAAAGCTAAGTGAACCCAGATGTACTTTAAGCCCTATCACATTGCTCATTTAAAAGAATTCTTGGTATTTTTCCTTTCCTGGCTACAGAAGCGGTGCAAAAGCCATCTTCTATTTAGGAAAATAAATGTTCTATGTGAACATGCTAATTCCTGCAGCAGCCAGCCCCACACTGTGTGGTGCTTCCAAGCAGGAGCAGAGTCCCTGGCCCCAGCCCTGCAAACCTTTGAAAGAGAAATGGGCTCACCACTGTCTCCTGGAAAGTGCCAGAGCGATTATTAAATATCAAAAACCCACCCTTTAACAGAAAGCCAGTTCTTGCAGCCTAGAGAGACTTGATGCACGCAAGAAAAGGTTGGGAAAATTTTCCCTGCATCATCAACACGCTTTCCCTCAGCATGGCTGAGGGAACAGTGGCATCTGGTGTTCGCTGAGCTCTCTTACAGCCACCGACCGCTTCCCAGGTGGGTGCTGGTAGGCTTCTCTGGGCATGGGCAGGATTTGGCTCCCCACATGAAGGTATCTAGTGGCACCTGAAACCTGTAGGATGTCAAAGACAACTGTACAAGCATTCAGGTGTGATATGGGCCATAGGGGAGACTCAAGCCCACATGAATGGCAGCTAGAGGGCTGGATGGTGCATTGAATGAGAGAAACCCAAACTTGCTTATAGAATCATTGAATGGTTTAGGTTGGAAGGGATCTTAAAGCTCATCCAGTTCCAACCCCCCTGCCATCAGCAGGGACACCTTCCACTAGACCAGGTTGCTCAAAGCCTCATCCAGCCTGGCCTTCAACACTTCCAGGGAGGGGGCATCTACAACTTCCTTGGGCAACCTGTTCCAGTGTCTGACCACCCTCACAGTGAAGAACTTCTTCCTAATATCTCATCTAAACCTCCCCTCTTCCAGCTTAAACCCATTTCCCCTTGTTCTGTCATTAACTGCCCTTATGAAAAGTCCCTCCCCAGCTTTCTTGTAGCCCCTTCAGGTACTGGGAAGCTGCTAGAGGATCTCCCTGGAGCCTTCTCTTCTCCAGGCTGAACAGCCCCAACTCTCTCAGCCTGTCTTCACAGCAGAGGTGCTTCAACTTCTAGTGAAGAAGGTAATTGTTCTTGTTGGGGGGATTAATTCCCTCCACCCAGGATAAGGGCGGTGATGCAGGGAGCCTCTGACTTAGACACTGAGATTTATGTATTTTTATGAAATCTTTATTCCATCTTTCTCAACAAAGAGGGATTTGCTCCTACTGAGGTGCCCTGGTCCATGTGTTCAGGCAGCTTGTCCACCCCGAGGCTTGTGACAGTCTGTGCTGCAACAGCTCCAGGGTGTGAAGCTCAGCTCTGTGTGTCTGACTCGTTTTTACCATCTGAACATCTCCTCAGTTGAATCTCACGTTCTCAATGTGAGACCCAAAATGCAAGTGATGCTTAGGAGCCTTTCCCTCGCCAGTATCAGGGATTTTTACCTTGCCCAAAATCTGGAACGAGTTTCACTGGGAGTTGTTTGTTTGTGCTTCTTTCCCCATCTTTGTTCTTGCTGTAAAACAGGATAGTCCCACTGTATCTGCTGCATAGACGTGGGTAACTTTGCTGCTGTTAGAGCCCAAATCCATCTTTTAAATGCCTCTGGCAGACCGGTATCAATAAGTGACTGGGCAGTATCTGAACCTTGTGGTGGGTGTGTGTCCTGGCCAGTATCAGTGAGTGACTGGGCAGTATCTGAACCTTGTGGTGAGTGTGTGTCCTATCTGGGTTTCAGATGGAGGGTTCTCTACTGCTGGTTCCCAAGACAAAGCCAAAGGCTTGCTTGGAGACAAACTAAGCTGTGCTTCCTTCTCCTGGCAGGAGAGGAAGCCCAAATCTGAGCAAAACAAAAGTTAAAGTTGTGCGTCTCCCTGGTAATTTCTATGCAAATCAGAAAAGGCAAATTACTCTGTGTGTTTTGCTAACTGAAATAGTTTCAGTCTTCTACCTCAAGCATGTGAAAGACAGGGCATTCCCTACTGAGATGAACAGAATGACAAACTTGAGCTTGGACCTCTATGGAAATGATTTCTGCTGGTTTCTGTAATTTTTCAAATTGCAGATTTTTAGAAGTTCTTCATCCTTATACTTAACCAAAAGTTGGTTTGCAATATTTGTAGGTCTCCTCCCTGTGACTGTGCTCAACATTTCCCCTACAAAGGGTTTTACTTTGGTAGCTAATCTCATCCAAAGATCCTAATTATTGTCTCTTTTAGGCAATTTTTGTCCTATTAAGTTACAAAAAAATTGCATTTTGTTGACATCAGAACTGGTTTCACAGCTACAAGTAACAGCAAGGGGTGTTTCTGCAAAGACGCCGTTTAACTGTGACCTCCATCACCCAAACAAGCAGAGCCACAGCTAACAAGATATCTCTTTGCCCACAAGATTTAGAAACTCATCAGGTAGTTTTTTACATAACACGTAGTACTATAAAGAGGTAATATCCCAAGGGCTGACTTTTGGGTGGTGTGTAGTTTGGCACAGTGTTCCTCAGACCACCGGATAACTCTGTTCTACAACAGTTTGTTCAAATCCAACCCTGGAGTTGCTGTACACTGAAGTTTATTTTCTATAAAAACATGGGAGGTTTTCCAAAGTGCAGCTGAACTTCTGCTTACAAAAAACAAAACCAAAAACCACACACAAACAAAAAAAAACCCCATGGGAACTGGGCACCTAACTCCAAATCCCACTGAAATTAAATTCAATCCCCATAATCTCCCATGAAGACTTTGACCCTACTCTTGCAAGTCAACGAACAACTTGTGTGTGGAGAACAGGTCCCAGAGGCATATGCTCTACAAATACCCCAACCCTTTTGCTCTCAGCAGTCAAAGAACATGTTGTTGCCTGAATAGAGTTACACAGAGAGTAAGAAACGTTAGTTTTATCATGTGTTTTGTTTATTAAACTCAGTTTTCACTGATGTCCTGAGTTGCCCAAAATGTTTCCCAGGAAGACTGACAAACAGAAACAAATAATAAATATATAGATACAGATATTTCAAACACTTTAGGTATAAACAAATAAAAGCTCTGGTTTGCCATTTTGGAAGGTCCTATGTAACCAGTATTTTCAACTGGCCAATTAGCAGCACATGTGTTAATCAGTGAAGAACGTCCACTTGTTTTTAAATGATCAAATCCAGTGTTTTAAAATTATTGCTTATTATCAGGCAAAACCCCAAGATATAAAGGGTGTTCATTAAAAATCCTCATTATCAGCAGGGATGGTATAAATTAACAGTACATGCAGCCTTATAGTGGAGGGTCTTTATGCAATTAAGACCAAAAATTTCAGAAATTAATTAAGATGGGCAACTAATCTGAGGTTATTACAGAAGTCAAATTCTCAGCAGGTCTGACCTTGGCACCTTCCTAAAATCTACCTTCTTTCAAGATGGTGGGCTGAGCCCCCTGACATAAACACCTCTAAACACTCATGGCTGGGGACAGAGCACTCAACTGCGACACTCCTCCAAGGCTTTGCCACACAGTGCTAACTCCTCTCCTGCCTCTCCACCAAATCCACTGGGACCTGCTTGGTGGGGCTGCCATGACGTGGGGATGAGAAAGAGGACCAGTGCGCAGAGAAATGTCATGGAGCTGTAGACAACTGAGATATTTTTCCTTCCTCGCTGATCCTTCTGGCTGGCAAGGTTGAGGGAGGCGATGGTGCCAGGTACCAACAGAAAGTGGAAATGTAGATCTCCTTGTAGCACTTGTAACTAGAGGCATCTCAACTTTTGCAGCTACTGGTAACAACACCTTGCATGGCGGGTTCCCCTGTGCCTATCGCACGCACTACTCAGCTAGCAGTCTCCCACTGGGGCTACACTACAGCAGTTCTTGCTCCCTTTAGTTTGGGAGCACCTCGGGGCCAGCGTCCGCCTTCCTGTGCCCTCCTGGTGGGGCATAGCTCGCTGATCTCCTCACTCTGCTCTGGCAGGTCCACTTGCTTCTCTGCAGGAAAACAAGGAGCAGCAGTACTTGTGCTAACCCCTCAGCAGAGGAGCCCAGTCCCAGAGGCAAAGAAATGAAACCCACTGTCCATCTTGCACCAGTGAGTGATGTTCCTCAGGGCATCACGATGGAGATGTGCTGTCAGACCTTCTGGCTGTCATCCGCTCTTTCCCTGCTGGGTCTCTTCGGATACACTATGCTGGCCATCTTGAAGAACTCATCTGCAGCATCCAGAGCTATGAGCCGATCCTGCCAAAGCAATAGAGTTTTACAGTTACTAGGGGCTGCTTTGGGCAGCTCCCTGGTCAGGCTCCTCCCTCCATGGCTGCTCTCAGGTTAAGCCAGGCATTAAGTCTAATCTTTTCCCACTTCGTTAACAAGCTGCAAGAGCACCCAGTTGCACAGGCTTAAAGGAACTTGGCTGGGGGGACAAATTTATGGTGCTACAGCATTGATATTTCTAAGGAAGCGGAACAGCCAAGCTACAAGTGCAACATCTGATGGGGACACCTCAGATGTCCCCATGTAACTGAGCATCCTCTGGTGCAGTTCACCTACCTGCTTCCCTTTGTTTGACTCACAGAGGTGGGGGCTACAGAGAGGAAGGTATGCTCAGAGCTACTCACCACCACGAAGAGGTAGCGCTCAGAAAGCTCCCAGTTGGTGGGGAAGATGTTTGTCTCTTCAGAGAGCTTTAACAAGATGTCCCGGGCTTTGCCCATGTTCTGTGAGTCGCTGATGGTGCTGAGTTTGGTCACTGACAAGAGGGAGTCTGCTTCCTTCTGGAAACCTGGGAGAGAGGTGTGTTACAGAAAGGACTCAAACATGCAGGCAGGGTCATCCCTGAGCTCTCCTGGCTCTTGCAAGGTTCTTTTCTCCCCCTCCACCTTGGGCTGCTGCATTCCCTACTTAGTAAAACAAACTAGTGTTTCCCTGAGGCACTTGGTGTCTGCACTTGGGGCAGGTATGAGCTTGCTGGCGTGGAAAAAAAAAAATCACAAACCCATTCAGAGCAAGTTTGTTGTTAGCTTTCCAGAGAAAGTGTATGAACACCCACACCCAGTGTGCTGATTGAGCTCTTGTATGTTCCTGAGGCTGCCAGAGCTTTCAGGGCTGGTAGGGCTTCCTGAGCACCCCAGTGTCTACACCTATGTGTTGTTGGGAGGTAACAGTGATAAAAAACCCGTGGCGGTAATGGATGAATGAGTAATTGTTCCAGTAACAGTCAATATCTCTTATAGGAAGGAGATCCAGGGAAGGAAACAGGGAGGAGAATGAATGCAATTGCTACCATTAGCTCTTTGTCAGCTCCAGGGAGCTAATGGTGATGTGTCTCACCCAAAAACACTTACAGAGGAAAGAGAGGTGGTCTTAGGGTTAAAGCACAGATAGGAGACAAAAGATAGGAGGTTTTCAGATGTGGCTGCACATCTAGCTTTGCTAAGGCCATATGATCCCTGGCCGTGAGCTTTCCCACAGCCCTGGAACCACTACAGACGTGAGGGAGATGTGGGAGAGACTTTGGCAACGGGCTGTAACAGATGGAAGGATGTCAAGTGATACCTCCAGTGTTTGGTCTGTACAGGCTGAGCGAGCACCTCGGTGAAGATGAGCGGTGATACCTGGTTATGAATTTATAATGTTTCTCCCACCCAGATGCCAGAGCAGCAGGTAGGGCAGGAGCAGCTGAGATACCCGTCTCTTCTGCTCCCAGTGGTAATATCCTTGAGCAGCCCAACAAGTGCGCTCGACTAGCACATCCTCCTCTCTCATTAGCTGCCAACCACCTCCAAAGCATGATGCAAGTCACCGAGCTGATGTGCCAGTACCGTGTGTCACATGCTGCATGCAGCACAAGTAGGAAAACCAGGTCACACCCGTCGTTGCCTTCTCCAGAGGAGCAGCAGCTGAGCACACAGGACTGGTGGGTGCAGCTCACTGCTTGAGGGCTAGGAAGTAGCAGGAGTAGGAGGGAGGGCCACTGTTAAGCAATTTCATGTGGTGAAAGAGTATTTCAAATTCACTTGGGAGCACGCAAAGTGGGTGGTTGAGCTGTGATCAGCTGGCATGGGCTAAGGAAGAAAAATAGATGTTATCTGTGTTCAAATCTGAAAGGCATATTCATTTCTTCCTGCTTATCTTGTTTAGAAAAACCCAGGGTGAACTCCTAGGTATCCCTGCTGAGTTTCCACAAGGAAGCTTGAAATGAACGACTGTGCATGCTGGTATGGGCTTGAAAGGCTCTCCCGCTGATTGTGGTTAGGGAGCTTTTTGATGTGCCTTCAGACATGGTGGCCCTGTCTCCTCCCAGCTGTGCCTGAGCTCTGGAGAGCCTCACCGAGGCTCTCAGCTGCCATGTGGGCTACCTGATGGCAACCTTGCTTTATTTCCCTCCCTTTCTCCTCTACCAGCCTGATCTTGTGGAGCCGTTCCCATCCTCAGCCATCGTGTGACCTCTCGTTTGTACCACAGAAATGACATTCTTTTGTCCCCTAGCTTACCTAAATCCTCCAAAATGTGTTTCCACCTGCTTCTCACTTGTTTTCGGGTCTGTCGTAAGGTATAAATGTCATAGTTGAGCTTTTGCCATTCCTGCAAAGCAAAAGGATAAGAGACACTCAGATATTTGCATGCAGGGAGACCTCTCCTGCTTTTCCAGGGTTTTCAGCTTTCAGAAACAGAGCCAGATTTGAACTGTCGATGTTGGCACTGAGGGATCGGTATGAAGGTCGATGGCCAGGCTGTCGTTGTCCCTGGAGGAAATTACACTGAGCAGTATAGAATAGTTCAGCGTGACGTTTGGTACAGCACCTCTGTACCTTCTCTGCGTGTACAAAACAGGTTTCCAGTGCCCTTGGAATGGGATTGCAGAATTTAGCTTAGGCATTGCTGATGGCCAAAGTGGTCTTCTCGGTCAGACAGGGAGAATATAACTCCAGTTCTGTGCTGGAAATTATAACGCTGTCCTAGGCTGGAGAACAACGTGAACTTCCAAACATAACTCATCTGAGAGACTTCACTCTCTCTGGTCTAAAGCCCTTTACCCCAAACCTTGATACCCCAGCTAGTATAAAAACTTGAGGTTATGAAAATACCTTATGTGGCCTTTACAGCTTGAGAAACCACAACCACATATTAATAATTACCTTCTATAAACTATTGCAACACCTTATTTTCATCTCCTTGCAGTGAAACTGGCACGGCACATTTTCTTACCGCTGATGATAGCCCATGGGAAACTAAAAGTTTGGAAACCAAAAAAAGTGACTGCTCTCAGTATGGTCACACATACAGAGGCTTCTCCAAACTGCTCAGCCCTCCATTTGGCATTTCACTGGAGTAGACAGGTACTCAAAAACCAGAAAAATAGACTTTTTTTTTTAAAAGGCTGGCGTATTCTATTCTCAACAACAGAGAAGAAGATGGTTGAGGGCTGAGCTGGAGTCATTTGACATAATAACTATGAGTGGCTGCCAGTTGCTGCAGTTAACGCCTCATTTAACCATACAGTTTAAATCCTTGCGCTTGACCTCAAGCTTTATGTCTGCATAATGGGACACTGTCTAAAGGGGGAGGTTCTGAAGTTATTTATTAAAATTATACCAGGACAATGAAACACATCTGTACAAGTATGCATCCTTGTGGAAATGCTCATATTCTGCAAGAAAACCCAGAGTATTTTTCCTGGCTGAGTTTCATCTTAAACGCACACGCTGAAAAGGATGCACTTACAAAAGCATCCACACAGCGGGTCATAATATCACTCACGTAATTTCTTTGCACTAACAACCTTAATTAATCTTATTTCTCAGCAACAGATTACATAGATGGACTCTTGTAGAATAAACGGGTGTTAATCTGTGCCATCTCCCTGGGGTTTTCCTATGTGACCCAGGGTTCAAAGGGGTTAAATAATACCCAGGCAGGTAGGCTGTGCTTTAGAAATCCCACTGGTTTTCTGATACCTGGTGCCTTCAAGAGTTGACTTGATTTCATAAAGAGTTAGAGATTTCTTAGTGGTTTTGGGTTTTTTTATTTTTCCTGAACCAGCTGACACACCACAACTGCAGAGAATTAAATAAGGAGCCTGTTTTCTTGTTCAGCCATATTTGCAGGAACCCCTTGGAGATGATGCTTTGGAAGAAGCAGTCGGGGCTAAGACACTGGTGGACTCAGGTCAGGAGAGCAGGGGAAAGGCGACTCTGCCTGCAGCCGTGGCTCTGCACTGCTCCTCCTCTCGGAGAGAAAAATCCCCTTTGTTTTTAGCTTTGTGTTGCTCTCTCAACGAGCTCACTTTGCTGATCAGAGCTGCGTTTCTCTCCTGACTGCAGTGGTACCTGCAAACAGCTTCAGTGGTCATACAGGAGGGCACCTGCCTGCCAGTGCAAGGCATCAAAATGCCTCTCCAGCCTTTGGCCAGAGAAAAGACGCAAGGCCAAGACTCCGTTCTCTTGTGGCACCTGCTCCTAGCTAGGAATTGAGCTCCTCACAATGAAAAAGAAAATAGGGGTTTTATGGTATTAAAGCTTTGTGGGAAGTTTATAGCAACCTTGAAATTTTTTAAAGGAGAATAAAGACCACATGATGCCTTGTTCCCCCCTGGTGGGGTGTCCTGGTTTTTAGCTCTGTCCAGGGACAGAGCGAGGTTTCTTTTCAGTAGCTGGAACAGCACTGGGGTTTGGGTTCAGATGGGATTTGTTACAATAAGAACATTGATAACATCCCCATGTTTGCGTTTTTGTCACTGGAAGTTGAAGGACTTTGTGTTTTGCTGGTCTACAAGTGCAAGATCTCAGGGGGTGAGGAATATTGCAATGAATCAGCTCCATAGGCATTGGGCTCTGCCAAGGGGCTGTTCCATCTCCTGTCCCCCATGGGCAGGAGATTCATGAGGGGCTCTTCCTCTATTGCTCTCTCTGGCTTTGGCTCGGGCTCTGGCTCTCCCGGGATTGCAGTTTCAGGTCGGGATTGTCGCTCCTCTGGGATCGTTCTCTGGGAACAGGCTGGGCTTGGTCGGCGGGTGGTGAGCAATGGCACTGGGCATCACTCATTTGCATATTTTGTTACTGTTATTATTTTAATTTCATTATTATTTTAAGTTTTATTTTATTTCCATTATTAAAATTGTTCTTATCTTACCCTACCAGTCTCCTTACCCTTGCCCCCCAATTCTCTCTCCTGTCCCCTGGGTGGGCAGTGAGCAAGCAGCTGTGTTTGGCTCCCAGCCCAGTGCTAACCCAGTGAAACTGCCACACAGGGATCCTCAGAAACATCTCAGCCTGCTTGTGACCCCGTGGTATAAGCAGAGAAAGGAGAGCAAAGCAGTCTGGGCATGCTGGCGGGGACATAAGTTGTGAGTCTCTGCCCTCCCACGGAGATAAACAAGTGCTTTAACACACACCATTGGTCAACACAGCTGCTGTGATCCCAGGTGTGCTTCATGTTGCTGAATTAGCAATCCAGAGTCTGGGAAAGATGCTCCTGTCCCCAAAACGTGGGTTGCTGGCAGCAGGCAGCAGCTTTCGGGGCTGCAGGGATTTACACCCCTTTTTAGCAAACCAGACTCCTTGCTAAGCCAGAGAGCGAGCAGCGCTTAGTGTGCAGGGAAGCTGCTCCCGATTTCCTCTGGATTAACAGCAGCATGGTTTTCCCTCATCTGTTTTTGTTTTAAGAAAATCTAGGTTATGGCTTTCTTGTACATCATAGTGTTATGGAACCGAATACGGTGTATAGTCAGTCTCGGGAGATCTCTGGAGTGGCTTTGGTACAGAAAATGATACTTGATGGTAGTGCCTGGGGGGGAACCTCTTGTTTTGGAGGTATTTCTTTTGCCTGGGTGTGGAGCCAAATGTATTCATGTTTCTGTAGAAAAATCTGGGAGGAGGATGCTGCACATGGTGTAGAAAAGAAACTGGAGACTAGAGATTATCAGGGTGAGGATGGGCAGCTCTGGGCTGAGCTCTCCAAGGGGCTCATGGCCTGTTCCCCATCAGCCTCAGAAAACATGGAGTTTTCACAGGTCATTCCTTATAGTAGACATCCTAAATGCTGTGAGCAGTAAGTTGTCCTCTGTGTTGCTTTAATGAAGGAAATAAAATTAAGAGCATCTTAATGATGAACCTAAAAAGCATCTGCCTTTAACTACACAGCAGAGGAAGGCTAACGTTTGTCGTGACTATGTCTCTGCATAGGAACGGGCAACATCAGAGACCTTGGGCAGGGTGTTCCCCACACACGTCCTGTGAGTCACCAAGACATGACCTGCAGAAAGATCTGGGCACCGTCATGAGGCCTGGGCTGCTCAGCACCAGCTGCCAGGCAGCCCCAGGGCAGGCAGGCAGCCGGGGCTCCCCACTGAACCCCGCTCTCCCTCAGCCCTCGCTGTGGCTGTGACAGGGACGGCTGCCGCGTACCAGGGCACCAGGGAGATGCAGGACAGGGCAGGATGCCCTCTGTGGTGTCCAAAGCTGTGTGTAGGCATGGGACAAGCAGCTCTCTCCCAAAACTTTGCTTCTTTTTGCACCTCTGTGCACCTCCCTTCCCTGTCCTGCCTCTTGCAAAGTTAGATGTAACTTCTGGAGTGGTGAGGAGGCTTTTCACACACAGTACTGGGAAAGGACAGTGGAAAACTGGTCTTCACCAAACCCCTTGGTGTTTCTGTGGGTCTGGGACATCCCCGTGACACATTCAAAATCAGACCTTTAAGAAAAATATCCTTCTGCCAAAATTTGAATTATAATCATAGAATCGTAGACTGGTTTGGGTTGGAAGGGACCTTAAAGATCATCTAGTTGCAACCCCCCTGCCATCATCAGAGACACCTTCCACTAGCCCGGGTTGCTCAAAGCCTCATCCAACCTGGCCTAGTTTGACCACAGGAAACCAAAGCAGGTTGTAGTTCCTGGCCCTGTTTTTTGCAATCAGTTTTGCCCTTTTAAACCTACATACCAGGGCACGACATACACCACTGGGACCTTGAGAAAACCCTTTGTGCATGAGTCAAAAATATCCCAGGAGCAGCAGGGAAACCCCGCTGCCTCTCTCCTCTGAGCGCTCAGCCCTTCAAATATTTACCTGGAAAACTTCCCTGGACTCTCTAGTGTGAAATACTAAACCTGCAAATGCCAAATGGAAGTGAGGAAATGCTGGGCATGGAATATAAGCCAGGTTGGTACATAACTAAGAGCTCTAGGAAAAAACATGCCAAGAGAACAGGCAAGCACTGTCCAACTTTTCATCCCTGCTTGTATGGAAATTTCCTCATTAGTAGGTAGCTTTCTTCATGTTGTCAAAACAATCCTCTACCAAAGCCTTCTCCTTTATTCCCTTGAAAGCCATTTGTGTCACCGTTCTGTTCAAGAGTTTTATTTTGGAAATTAGGTCAAAACGGAGTTATCAGGGAAAGACTGCAAAATACCAGTCCAGGCAGGTACACACCACAGCCAGGGATGCTCCTGCTCTGGCTCTGCGACTGGCCCCACTGGAAGGAGTTGAACATATATAAACTGTAGATCTATGCTCATACGTTGAACCCTCATCCAACATCTCAGCTTAGAATAAGCTTAAGATTGGAACTAGATGATCTTTAAGGT